CCCCGCGGCTTGTTTCCCTGGCCAGGGCTCCTGGCATTGCCGGGTATGGAGGGCAGAGGCAGTCACGTTTCAGCCCTTGCTGTCAGGCGGTGGGAAGCTGAAATGCTTCGTCCCCCTTTCCCTCACTCAGTTTGGTGCCAGGGTGACACCATGTCAGGACCGCTGTGACAGCGATTGCAGTCCGAGGGCATAGGGACAGGACCCCTGACCAGAGGCCACGGATCAGCTGGCTCCTGGCATGGCGCCGGGCGGCCATGGGTTCAGGCGAGGGGAAGTGATAAGGTCTGAGGTGGCATTACACTTACTATCGTAATAAATATTTATTACAGTTCTTCTGTTCAAGCCTTTTGGCCTTGCTACATAGTGTCTTGCCACCATCCCTTCATTTCAGTGTATTAAACTTCTGCGTTCACAGCATTACGGCAACTGTTCCACCCTGTTTACTGCTCTTTTGCTGTCATCTCTCTGCGTTTTCTGTTCCCGGTTTTCTGTGAGTGTTGTCTGGTTTTAGCCTTGTCCTCTGCCATGTATTTGAATGTCTCCGTTATTTTTGTCCCTCACCCCCACATTGTTTGATTTTGCTGTGTTTCTCCTTCCCAGTCACCCACGAGCCTGTTCCCTTTCTCATCCGTCAGTCTCCCACTCCCCTGCTCATTCACTCGTTTCCTTTCCCAATTTTCTAATGATGCTGCCCCTCCATGCAACAATAGCCCAGCCATCCTGCGCCCATATAGGTAGCTGGGTATCTATATAGCAAGAATAACACAGTTCTATTCCCTAAGTTACGTGGACTGTATATGATTTTAATGAAGAGATTTGCACAGGGCAAATCAGAAGGGCTTAGCTGACTGGAAGTAGAAGGTCTGTGCATAGTTGAAGGATTTCTGCAGAAGTATTAGTTGCAAAACAGAAGAAATACTTGGAGGAGATTAACTTTGAGCACTGAGACATGCAGTGTAATGGGATAAATGGAGGTGAAATGAAAGACAGGACAAATGTGATTAGTGGAAGGCAAAAAATAGAAATATCAATATAGAAAATGAAAGTGCTTAACAGTAGTGTTGATACAAAGATATTGAGACAAAGGGGGAAAAGATCTAGCCTATGAAAAAAGTTACAGAGATGTTGAAAAAATTGTCAGCCAAGAAGTCATACCATTATAATAATTTTTTAAGTTTTTTTACTAATAAGAAGAGCAAGAGGTTAATGATGGCCTTTACAAAAAAAGATGTGCAGAATTTAACCCCATCAGTTATGCTTTTGCTTTGGAGAAACAAGAAGGGGTGAAGTCAATAGTAGAAACTGAACCTCCACAGGGGGAAAGACAGGTTTTGTTAAGAAATAAGTTGTAGATTCCATGAGAAATTAAAGCAAGGCGAAACATGCTCTTTCCAAATAGCAACAATTTTTTTTTTTCAAAAGAAAAGTACTATTTCTTTTTGCAGAACTAAAATATCATCTTAGTAATATTCTTACTGGTTTTAAAGTTCTTGTCCAATATAACTGTAGGATCATAACACCTTAAAAATGCCAAAAGTATTAGCCAGAGGATCTCTGCTAGTTAGATACTGAGGCAACAAAATTACTGGTTGAGATAGAGAGATTAGAGCCACTGGTTTTCTAGCCAGCTTTTAGCTAAGTCTTAATAAACAAAAGAGGGGTAATTTATTATATCATAAATGATTAAATATGATACCAAACACAGCAACACAAGGTTCTTTTTGTTTAGAGCCCTCTGGAACTAACATAAGTATATATTAGTGAGGCATATATTTTGGGTGGTGAGGCACTGGAACCAGTTGCCCAGAGAAGTTGTGGATGCCCCATCCCTGGAAGTGTTCAAGCTTTGAGCAACCTGGTCTAGTGGAAGGCGTCCCTGCCCATGGCAGGGGGGCTGGAACTGGGTGATCTGTAAGGTCCCTTCCAACCCAAACTGTTCTATGATTTGGATTGCAGATTTGCGCGATTTTGTTGGATAAGATCCACAACATGATTTGTGTAATATAATTTATTTTATTGAAATATTTTATCAACTGGATTTAGAATTCAACTACCTGCATTTGAAATAATACGAAGAGATTAGTATGTTTAGATAAGTATTTCTTAGGGAACTTTAAAGTATTTCTCCAGAAAGAGATTTTGTTAACATTCTTGATCCCTTACTCCATTAAGGTTTTATCACTTTAAAGTTGACCCAATGTGACCTTAACAGTTGTGGTTAATTCTCTAATACATAGTTGGTAACTGTGGGTAGAGAATAGGATTATATGAGAGATGACAACCAATAGCGAGGTACGTAAGCAGCTAGGAAAATTCATCTCAGTATTTATCAGGAAAAAAAAAAAAGCATTTGAAAGCATAGTGTTGGTATGGTATATATGAGATTGGCCTGTAGTAAAATATTACATCTGTTGACTCCACTTCTGGAAGAGGAAGCCTTTTACAGGACTTGCTGCTGCCTGCTGTAACCTCCATCCTAGGAAAGAGGGATGCTTCACTGAGGCAATATAACACAAAGTGTGTCATTCTTTCTTGTACACTAGTTTATTTGTCCAGGACAGTCTGTACTGCTTAGATTACCCTGCTCTGGATTAAGTGGTCACAGAGAGACTGTTTACCACACCACATTTACGCTCTCAAGTCTGAACGCTGGTGCTTTTTCTCAGTCAACACCCATGTTTTTAGGCCCGAGAATCCAAAGCAGTCCAATCCCCACCTGAAGAAGATCTGTGTTACCAGCGGGGCTGCCTCCATTGCAGCAGCATGCCACATCTCGTGGTCCATGAGACCCATGCTGCCATTCACACTGTGCCTCGTATTGGTGCGCTTCATCAACGGGGCATGCCCAGGGAGCCTCGCGCAGAAGAAAAACCACAGCCTGTGCAGGCTGAGCCCTGTCATAAGGAAGTAAACCAGAGACAGGCCAACTGCAGCGCTCGCGGATGACAGCAAAGAGTTTAAAGCTAGCAGGCAGTTGTTTGTTTGTTTGTTTACTTATTTATTCTAAATGTACCAGAGAGGATGTCAAACTTGCATCCATAGTGTATTACCATAACCTAAGCAACTGTAACAATTCCAGCCCCTTCACACTCGAATAGTTTCCCTACCTTAAATTTCTGCTTTATTTTTCTAGTTCCAATTTCCTAGAGGGGAGAGGGGGAAGAGCAGTGTTTTGGAACTAATTGTAGGTGAAATTTAATACTTAGCAGCTTTCTGAAAACTTGGATTTTTTTTTAGCTCTGAATACTTATCTTAGATCTCACTTAAAAAGATACAACTGCTATTTCATATTCCTATTGTGCGGAGTGGAAGCAACAGCTAATCATGAATTCACCTAAAAATCAGACTAAAATTCATCATTTTTGTGCACTAATAGGAAAAAAAAATAATGTGAACTCATGTACAGCATTTTCAAAAATTACTGGAGTGGTAGGATCTAGACAATGTGTAGCTATTAAATGAATAATCCAGACATTAAGGGAATTCCCCAGACAGCTGTTGGATTTTTTCCCCCTAATCAGTAATAATAATCCAGTGGTGTTAGAAGTGGCATGACTGTATATCAGAACGTATTTTTGTGCAGATACATTCTCATGCATCTCTAATGGCTCCCTAAAATACAAAGACAACCAAGCGTTATTAATAGCCACATATCTCTCATGAAAAAACTACTAGCTGTTTGGATATATGAAGTCTGCAAAAAATCTTTAGACCTTACTAACAAATATCCTAAGCTGGTTTACCATCAGTATAGCCTGACATCTTATGTTTTCTAGCAGAATGACCCTGATGGATGTTAGTTGCTTGTGTCAAGTTTTGTGTGGCAGAAGTCAGGGAGGTGTGTGGGAATCGAGTACGCAGATTTTGAGGGACAACGGGACTGGGAGATGGGCAAGCTGACCTAATAGGTCTCTTCCATCTCCAGTGTCTCCAGTTTTGCTTTCATATGGATTTCAATGCAATGGAAATATTTGTTCTGTTTCTAGTAGCTGTGTAGACATATACAATACCTAGTTTCTAGGCTAGTCTAAGGTGGCTTTGAGGTTTTTTTATATAGCTATAACCAGCATACCCTGTCTATCCAGATTGCTGTTTAAAAATACAAACATTTTTCTTTGTTCTTCTCTGCTTCGCTGCACTATTGGGGCTTACTTATTTCAGTGTCATCCTTCCTAACCTAATCCAAACAATAACCTTGGCTCAACAATTTAAACATACTGAATCCCCAACCAGAGTAGTTTTCCCTAGTAATACTCTGATTACAGCAGCTTTTATGTCTGAACAGGAAAGGACCTTAAACACTAAATCTCATCAGCACTGTAAAAAATAAGTGGTGAGCATCAGTCACATTTTCTTGAAATACCACAAGTCTTTCTTGAGGCCTAATCCTTTAATCTCTGGGTTTTGGGCACTTCTGTTCTGATTACTAGGGATCAAAAGGTTTGGCAAATACTCTTCAGACCACTCTTCAAAGTGGCCACTGTAATATTACCGGGCTGTTATGACAATTGTATGATTTTTCATTGTAGTAGTAGCTGGTATTTTTTGAAAAACCAGAGAAGTTAGTTTATCAATGCAACAGTCTGCCACACTGAAAATTAATAAAAAGGCATGTGGTCCTCCAGTACAGTGGTTCAGAGGATTTCAGAACATGGCAGTGTCAAAGTAAAAGGGAAATCTCCTTCACTGATGATGGAAATTCCTCCTACTGTGTAAAACACAGTATTTTCTAACAGAGGATACCCTTAAAGGGCTGCTGCCACATATACAAATACTGTTTTCCTAGCTTGTTCCCAAAGATACAAAGTAATAATTCATTTTCCTAAAACTAGAAATCTTATACCTTTTCATACCTGAAATTCATACCTGTGTGAAGTTACACTGGAAAAAAAGAAAGAATTCTGCATGTTATCCACAGACCAAAATCAGTCCCTTAGATCCTACTACAGATAGTTTTGTCAAATGTTCATTGGTCTGTTCTGGAAGGATAGAATTTTTTTTCCTAAATGAGATGATTTCCTCATCCTATTCCAAACAAAGGCTACATAAGTTGAAACAAATCAGTGACCCCTCCTCCCCAAATTTCATTTTACTTATTGCAAACTAGAAATAAATTTTTCCCTATATTTGATCACTGGGACTCCTAAAGACTTTCACTTTACATGTTAGATCTCTGTCTAAAGAAAACAACCTTATCTCACTTAAGAGAGGTAACAAGCTGCTTTTAAGAAGAAATCATTCACTTTTCAACAGACACGTGCGCTAATGACAGGGCAGATTTTGAAAAAGGAACAATCTTGTCATCTAGATGCAGAGCCCTGCAGTTGTAACAGGGGCAAGTGCAAATCCATCAAGGCTATTCCTGTTCATCACAGCCTTCATTACTGGCCTGCATTTACTGTTCCTGTCCATGTGGTTGTCACTAAGAAATCCAATCGTGTATTTAGTACCAAAACCCCTAGAGCCTGAAAGAGCCAAATACTCTTCTCTCTTTTCATTAATATTTTATTTGCATAGGTGTGTCATCACTTGTATCCAGTTCCTCTTCACTTGGAAGATTATGTTCTGCTACATAAAATTCATTTAGAAAACACATTTTTATACTGTTGCTTTCATGGGGCTTGCCACGTCGTATATTTGAGCATGCATATCAAGGGTGAATGCAGATGAGGTCTTTCAAAATTACTTTGCTGTGTTGACAACACCACAACAGATCTGG